TGCCTTGAGCGTGCGCACGGCATCCGGTGCGTAAGGTGTGTACGCGCTCTGGTGTAGTTTACGCAAGCGCCAGAAGTGATCTCTCGCGCGTATACGTCACTCATTGTTTACACAGTGCACAAACATTGTAGGTACGATGGCTAATCAAAATGGTACTTACTTGCGCTAATCCAGATTGTTCAAACCGACTTGAAACTAAAAGATTACGTTCTCTCCCGTGAACTCATTCGGGAGTGGTGACTTTCCACGTATTCCCAACTTCTGAGCCTGCTCGCCTGAAGTTATGGTTGATTGCTCTTCGATCGATTCGTGTCTTAGGACATCAATGTGGCGTCACGAGCCACAAGGTTTAATTTGGATTTGTCTGTGTATGTTTTTTTTACTCTCATAGATTTTGTTACCATTGCCATGCATTATACGACTGCAACGGTTGGAGTTAAAAATAATCATTTGTGTTCTACTGAAGAAACAAAGTCACCTACATCTTGGATGCCCTGGGGGTAAGCAGATAAACACAAAATTTTCATTTTTGGGTGAACTATCCCTTTAAGGGTGGCTTAAAGGGATAGTTTACCCAAAAATAGAAATCGTCATCATTTACTCACCCTCAAATTTTTTACAAACCTGAATGTGTTTCTTGTAAAAGAAGAAAAAATATGATATTTTAACGTATCTTGGTAACCAAACAGTTTCTGGTCCCAATTGACTTCCACAGTCATTTTTTTCCATACTACGGAAGTTAGTTGGCACCAACAACTGTTTGGTTATTCACATTCTTCAGAACATCTTTTATGTTCAGTAGTAGACACAAACTCATACAGGTTTGAAACAACTGGAGGATTACTAAATGACAGAATTTTTGGGTGAACTATCCCTTTACATATCCATATACTTTTTCAGTAATTTACTGCATATCGATTGGTATGCACTGAAGGACTTTAATAATACTACATCTAACATACATTAGCGCAAATGATTAAAATGTATTTTAGTAGAAATGTTAAAGATAAAGTCTCTAAATCATACATGCTTATTCATCAACACAGAGCAGGAGAGCTTCCCTGTGCCCATGTCATCTGAGAGGGAGATGGCTGTAGCTGAATTACCTGATGTGTGTGCAGTTGTTGAGGTGGCAACGGAGAATGAAGAACCTATGTTTAGCTCCACTGATATGTGTCTGCCTCTCCAGGACTCCCATGTTTCATCCTACAGTGGTAGTTTTTTTTTTTTTGCATTCAACTCTACTGTCTTTGTGTTGTATTCACCACTGGAATGATAAACTACATATTACTGCTACTATTACTGAATTATGTTATTGTTGGCCACAAACACCGCTGGATATAATTATTAATTTTATTCTCTATTTTGCCTCAACAGAGAGTGACACCGAGAGCACAAACAGCGAGGAAGACTTGGCACAGGTATGAATGTAAATGGATAAAAAAAAAATCCAAGAAAGGATATCTTCCCTTTCATATTTTTATATACAATTTAGGCTCTTATATCTTATGAAATTGTGTTCTTGGTAACAGTCAGTTACAGCAAATACACTACAATTTTAAAGTTTTAAAGTCAGTATGATTGTTTTAAAAAAAATCATGAGGTAGCACTAGACAAACTAGTTGCTTAGTAGCATGCATATTACTAGAATATTGGCTGTTTATTAGTACTTCTAAAGCACATATTAATGCCTTATTCTGCATGACCATATTTTAGTTCCTTCAATCATACCCCATACCTAAACAACAACCATTATGACTATTAATAAGTAGCAAATTAGGAGTTTGAGCAAAAGTCATAGTTAATAGTGAGAATTGGTCCCCAGACTAAAGTGAGACCAAACATGAATACTTTAATTTAGCACGGATGCATTAAATTGATCACAAGTGACCGTATAGGCACTTTCTATTTAAAAAGAATCCTGAATAACATGTATCACAGTTTCCACAAAAATATGGAAAAACACAGCGGCCTAGCGTGAGGGGAAGCCCCGGCTTAGCGTGAGCAGAGGCGGCGGGGTTGAGAACGGCGCAGGCGGCGGATCCGACGAAGGAGCGGCAAGCACATGTGACGACCCCGGGCTTCGTCCACGGTGAAAGCCGATACGGCGATCCACAGCACTAAGTTGATGTATTCCCTCAGCGACCAGCACGGATCAGCTCCAGGCATGACGAAGCGGATATCGTCCTCTTTTGGAAGACCAAACAAAGTAGTTTCGCTTTCACAACGAAGCACACAGCGTCTTCAGGACATGGCGGAAAGCTGCAACAATACTACAGTGAGAATAAAAGTTACACCTTCTTTCTTTGCGTGAACATTTGGGAGGCGTTATGCAAATCTTCCCACATAGTGAGGTAGATATGTGGGGGCGTGTTAGAACGAGCCGTTTTAGGTAGGTGTGGCTGACTCTTAACTTTTATAAAAAATATCTCTTTGGATTTGAGACTTTAGACTTTGCAACTTTACAGATCTTTATGCACCAAGAGCTTGTAACTCTCCAAAGAGAAAGGAAAAATTGAAATCGCATCATATGACCCCTTTAAAAAATTTGTACTGACTCCAAACCATTGAACAGTAGTGTACATAGACATTTCATTGTCAAGCCACAGCCAATTTGGGATTTTTATTTTTTATTTTTTTATTGTGCTAAGAGTGTTATTAACTTCCCCTGCAGCTTCCCCAGGACTTGTCCTTAAAAGCTTCACAAAGATCATCATGTAATTCTGTGTTAAGGATCCCATCATCAGCTCAATCCTCACCAAACACATTTTTCACATCAACAAAAGTCAATTTCAAAGTGACCAGCTGCAGAGAGGACTTGCCCCTAATTGCTTACAACACTCCTCCATGGTTTCCCTGCCTGTTTAGTTTCCAAAAAGTCACAGACATGCGACCCTCAAGCCCTGCCCCCTCACCAGATCTCACCAGTAGCCTGGCTTCTCAGGCAAGTGTGATAGCTAAAGCTGTGGACCTCTCTGTTGCAAAACACAAAACACTACAATGAAGACATTTGAAATGTACAACCCGCTGCTATGCAAATTATACATCTACACCCATAATTCAACATTAATCAAGTACTCTCAGGTGTAAGATTTCCCTCAAATATAATCCTGTGTTTGTGTGCAGCTTTTAAAACCAAACAGAGAGTTCCAAGCTATCTGAATCCGTTATACTACATATCATTATATTTCTGAAATAGTTTGCAGCACACTACCTCATTCTCATAACTGCATTAAATTTGTAACTTGTAGAACTACCTCACGGATCACAGAAGTTGTCAGTGTAAGCTAGTAATGATGCAGCATTGGGAGAATATGCTTGTATTAATTTAGCATTAGAGTGACATTTCATACATGTTGACAGCATATGTAATAAAATAATAAAGAACGAAATAGAAGTTACTGGGGAATTTTTAAGGGGAATTTGTATGCGTCTTTCTACAGGGTACTGTAGCAATATTGAAATCAGTTTTTGAACGATATGATTAAGGTTTCAGTACATTTATATATGAAATTGTCATGTCTGAATTACATTTTTGTCACTCCAGAACAACTTATTGAACTGTCTGTCTGGAAACTTTAAGTTTTACTTGAGGTTCAGCTCTCCCATGTTAGTAGGGCTATAAATACTTGAATAGAAACACTAAGAGTTATGTATTAACTTGTCAAACCGTTCTCATTTGTGTTCTGAAATCACTCTTATTATAAGGTAATGAGATTTTGCTATTGTTTTTGTATAAAATATTTTTATACAAGTCACTAATTTGCATAATGAACAAATACAGTATGGAGATTAAAAAGCAAATATAAAAACAGGTTTATTGTAGTGTCAATGATTAAAAAATTACAATACAAAATCTTTTCAACACTCATTTGTTGTATAATGTACATTAAAACAGTGGTTCAAAGTGTTAGTAGTGGTACTAGTGAAAAAGATGAATGTGGAGTAGAAAAGCAAATCACTTTTGTTGCTGCATCTAACCTTGATTTTACAATAGTGGGATGAGAAGTCAATGTTTTACAACTCAGACTCTGTGTATGCAGTGGTCTAAATAATAAATTGTATTCTTGGTTTTTACCAATTGTGATTTTCATTCGTCATGTCATTTGTTTCGTCTATAAATATAGTTTTATACAAAGCTAGTGGTGTACAATTTCATGTTGTTGATGGCGCTATATTCGTAACAAAAATGTGTACATCTATAACAAGCTTATTATAATGTTTCATGCTCAATTCCAATTGTTTCACTGAATTGACAACTTAACACTGTTGCACAGCTAATATAAAACATCTCAATTAGATGTGACTTCAATTCTATATTATACACAGATGTTTAAAAGCAATAGTTCACCCAAAAATGTGTGTCTTCATCTGAACAAATTTGGAGAAATTTAGGATTACATGACTTGCTCACCAATGGATCCTCCATTGAAAAATTCCATCCCCTGCTGTCCTCACATCAAAATCCACCAACTTTTTTTGACCATTTTCACTTGTCAGTGCTTGATCTGTACATATTTCTCACCTGATTCAGATGAGACTACTTCACTGGTGAAAGCAATATTATAGATAGATGAGTCGTATTTTAGCCGGAAACAACTGTTAAGTTAAAAACTGAATCAGGAGAGAAATGTGCACAGATCAAGCACCACTTACAAGCAAAACATGTCAAAACCAGTTCTAAACAAATATGTCGGTGGATTTTGATGAGAGGACAACAGGAGATTATGGACTCATATTTGACCGTTTGAAATGAAAACGCCTTAATGGATTTGTTTAGAACAAACACATCGATTTTCACATTACAAGACATTAATTGATAGACTGGTGAGCAAGTGATGTAATGCTAAATTTCTCCAAATCTGCTCCACCTTGGGTGGCCTGAGAGCGAGTACATTTTCAGCAAATTTTCATTTTTGGGTGAAGTGAACTATGTCTTTATTACAGTCTGTGCCTTCTTTTGAAGTAAGATTGTATATTGTTGCACTTGATACTCTTTTTTTTTTTTTTTAAGTAGAGGTTATACTTAGACCTATGTACAGACTGGCTTTTACCAAAATGAAGAAAGCGTTTAGAAAACCACTAGTAACTGAGGTTGTAAAAGTATGTCATCCCCTTTGAAATGGTGGGCAATCAATACCACCAGTCTGGATGATGTGAAGAAAAACGGTTTACTTCTCAAAGTATGGCAAATAAAAGAACTTGAATCCTCTTCGTCCCCGAACTGCACAGCTTATATAGATCACATGATAGACTGAAACAAAAAAAGGGAAGAGCAAGAGTTGTTTCGTTGTTTTTCGCTAGCATTTTTCTTTAAGCAATGCCGAGTCAAGTCTTGTTCTTCCTCTGCATGAACAACTTCTCTTGACTGCACAGATAAGTTCACAATTCATAAAACTATATCATCTAAGGTCCAAAATCCACTACTGATATTCACAATGGCAAACCTGACTTGTATATTAAGAACACATTAGATCTTACCACCGGGAATGAAGAGTAGAAATCCAGGAACAAAGAAAATTGCACTTGAAACACCTAAAAAAGGCATAAATACATGGGTTACATAATTATACAGGACAAAATTAGCATAAAACCAACTGTTGATTTAGATTATGTCTGAAGGTGGTGGTGTCTCTGTTTTTAAGGCATACAGAGCACTTATATGCTATGATACGCTCCACTTATAATTAGCTTAGAATTATAATTCTAAAGCAATCTTGCTCATGTTTCATAGTTATTTACAGCCAATGTGACAGGTCTTACCTGCGTGAGGGTTTAACTGTATGACTATGCCTGTAAAGATCAAAGCTGATAGGAAGGAGGAACAGGGAGGGGAGATAGGAAGTGGAGAGATAATACAATAACTTAACAGCAGACAATTGCATTTGAATTTACCATCTATGCTCAAAAGTTGACAGCAAGGTAAACAAAGACAGCACTTTACAAGTCAAACAGAAACAGCCGTTCCCAGACACCTTCCCCCTGAGATCAGTAGTACTTGTTATGATCAAAAAACATCACAAAAGGTATGATAGTCTTACCAACTCCAGTGATTAAGAGGAGGAATGAAGCAAGAACGACTCGTCTGTTCTTCTTCACCAGCGGGTGAGACGTCCACCTGGGAACAATCCACACAGAGCAAAGCACAAGGAAAGGAAAAGAATATCAAACTATTTTAATTTACCCAACCAGAGTTATTTTTTGTAAATATCGGAGGCCTTTGTTCACCCCCCGCAGCCGTGTGAGGCACTTTTTATTATGGATGGCTGTGCTTTATTTCACTTCTTTTGGTCTGATGAACTGCAACACCCGCTGACTGCCATTAAACAGCTTGGATTCATCTGAAAGAAGAAAGTCATATACACCTAGGCTGCCTCGGGGTTGAGTAAATAATGGGCTAATTTTCATTTTTGGGTGAAAAAACCCTTTAATGAAACCCTTATTGGTGCAACCCATCCTTCATTTTGTACTATGCTGCTCAAATTATTTCATTCGATGTTCAATTAAATTCCTTGCTTAATGAGAATTTTCAAACCTGATTTTGAAGAAGTTATTGAAAGAAGAGTTCACAGTGCCACCTAAAGCATCTTCATTTTCCAGGTTCTGTGGGTGAACACAAACTAAAGTTAGTCATATCTGCCTGTAAAAGACTCTCTAAAAGAAAGCGACACTCATGTTACCACCTGACCTGATATTTCAGATTACTGTGTTCAGGAGTGCCAGTGGGTCCAGAAGTTTGTGTTTTGGCAAAAGAAAGAGGTCCAAACATCATCTCTCCCCCGCCATCCTTCTCTCTCCCCTTCCATTCCCCCTCATCCTCTCCAGGCACCACATCTTCCTCCTCCCCCTCCAGGACGAAGGCGTCATCAATAGTGAACTCCGTCCCCATTGCTACAGGCCCTCGGATACTTGCTGTTTGTTAACTGGCAACCACTGTGAAGTTAATGAACATCTTAGTCTAGTTACTGTCCTCTATATTTTCATAATGCAGTATAGCGCATTGACTGCCCTATAACATTCCTTTACAATACACAGTAATGAATTTGACCTTTTTCCTCTCTAAATCCCTTCGTCCCAACTGTAAGTATTACTAAAGAAGAGCAAACAACATTCCCTTCTTTAGATCAAAGCTGCTCATTGTGGCTAAAGTACAGACCACTTCAAAGTGATTGGTCTACAAAATTGTATATGTGAAAAAAGGGAAAGTGTTTTATAAAGACAATTATGCAACATAACTTTGTTTTTGTCCATTTTTATGATTGCTGTTGTTGTTGTTTATTTAATTTATTTATTACTGAAAAGTTAACAGATTTTATTCAAAGTAAAACGTTCTTTTATGAGGCAGATTCAGGTTCAAAAGTAGAATAAATGCCCTGAGGAAGCATGTGACTGACGCTCTTCCGCTTGTTCCTAACAACAGAATGTTCGCATCCACCCCAAAACAATCTACATCTCGCGTATTGTAAAGGAGCTCGTTACACGCGACACGTAATTTTAAGTGCGATACAATAATAGAATGTACTCCGTCCCCATTGCTACAGGCCCTCGGATACTTGCTGTTTGTTAACTGGCAACCACTGTGAAGTTAATGAACATCTTAGTCTAGTTACTGTCCTCTATATTTTCATAATGCAGTATAGCGCATTGACTGCCCTATAACATTCCTTTACAATACACAGTAATGAATTTGACCTTTTTCCTCTCTAAATCCCTTCCTCCCAACTGTAAGTATTACTAAAGAAGAGCAAACAACATTCCCTTCTTTAGATCAAAGCTGCTCATTGTGGCTAAAGTACAGACCACTTCAAAGTGATTGGTCTACAAAATTGTATATGTGAAAAAAGGGAAAGTGTTTTATAAAGACAATTATGCAACATAACTTTGTTTTTGTCCATTTTTATGATTGCTGTTGTTGTTGTTTATTTAATTTATTTATTACTGAAAAGTTAACAGATTTTATTCAAAGTAAAACGTTCTTTATGAGGCAGATTCAGGTTCAAAAGTAGAATAAATGCCCTGAGGAAGCATGTGACTGACGCTCTTCCGCTTGTTCGCATCCACCCCAAAACAATCTACATCTCGCGTATTGTAAAGGAGCTCGTTACACGCGACACGTAATTTTAAGTGCGATACAATAATAGAATGAGAGTTTAAAACCTCGAATGTCATTAAAAATAAGTTGTTTTGAGGCAAAATGTCTACTGCTAATTTTACGAGTCTGCCTGAAAATGTAAAGAGTCGAACATCCCGTTATCAAGACCAACAATAGCGCAACATTACAAAGGAAGAATCCTCTACTTACTGTCCATTAGTCTTGATCTTCGTCAGTCATTCATAGATCTGTCTGCCATGATCCTTAGATCAATTCCAAGGCATACAAAGTTAGTAAAGCTGTTTAAATGTATTATTTACTCGCCGGCGATAACCTTCAACCCAAACTTTGCTAGTAACAGCTGCTTCTTTTTCGTGGGTCGAGTCTAAGCACACAAAAGTAGCGGTTGTCTCTTTAGTGACACCCGGAGGACTGGAGGATTCAGCAATTACCCTCAAGAAAACGGGGCATTTTGATACAGATGATAAATGTATAGTTATAGGTCTTTTGTTATAATAATAATACATTATAATTCCTTTAGTAATTATCTATCTATGTAGCACTTCTATTAATACTTTTATTCAGCAAATGTGCATTAAATTGATCAAAAGTAACAGTAAATTTTGATGGGTGCATGGTGAAAAGCAATTATTTAGACCAGGGGTGCCCAACCCTGCTCCTGGCGATCGACTGTCCTGCAAAGTTTAGCTCCAATTCTAATCAAACACACCTGCCTTTAATTTTTGAGTGATCCTGAAGACCCTAATTAGTTGCTTCAGGTCTGCAAAGTTCAGCTCCAACCCTAATCAAACACACCTGAAGCAACTAATTAGGGTCTTCAGGATCACTCAAAAATTAAAGGCAGGTGTGTTTGATTAGGGTTGGAGCTGAACTTTGCAGGACAGTCGATCGCCAGGAGCAGGGTTGGGCACCCCTGATTTAGACACTGGGCACAAGGGCATATTAGTTGCTTACAGTCCCAATGTGTTTCTGTCTGAGTGTGTATTTTGAAATGAGCGATCTTATCAAATTCTTCATAAATCCATTCTAGAAACATTCCTCAGATATTTTGGTCCATACTGACATGGTAGCATCACCAGGGCCGTAGCTGCGGTTTGCAGGGACCCGGTGCAGGTTGTAGGCCCTGTTGGAAATGGTGTAAATAAGAAAAATAAATAAACAGAACAAAGATACAAATTAAGCAATGATTTAAGCTTAATCAAGTTTGTAGGTGCTCAGGTGCAGAAACCAATCAAATGTAAAATAGCATTGCATAGTCTTCACTGTATAAATTAAATATAGATTCATTCTTGTTAAAACTACAAAAGTAATTCAGTCAAGAGCAGGGAGTGATTTAACATTAAAGGGTTGCTCCACTCAAAATGAGAATAGTCATTAATCACTTACCACCCCCCTTCTGAATTTCTTGAAGCGATGAGAATACTTTTTGCACTCAAAGAAAACAAAAATAATGATTTCAACAATTTGTCAACAATTCATTTCGGAGAGTATCCACTGAATGCAAACTGCGTATGCTGTTCTGTGTCAGCCGCACCACACGGATATGCCGCTTTTTCAAATCAAATCGTAAATAAACTTAGAAAATGTATCCATGTGGTGCGGCTGACACAGACAAGTAGAACAGTATATGTAGTTTACCTTCAGTGGATACTCTCCAAAATGGCGCTACGGTGACGCGGAGGAGACGAATTGTTGAATAAAGAAATAATTTGTTTTCTTTGCGTACAAAAAGTATTCTCGTCACTTCATAAAATTCAGATTGAACCACTGATGGCAGATGGACAATTTTGACGATGTCTTTCATACTTTCTGGGCCTTGACAGTGTTATTTACTTGGGTCACAATGGGACAAGCCTCCCGGTTTTCATCCAAAATATCTTAAATTGTGTTTTGAAGAAGAACGAAGCTTCTACGGGTTTGGAATGACATGGGGGTAAGTGATTAATGACAACATTTTCATTTTGGGGTGGAGTAATCCTTTAAGAACACAGACAACAGCTGGTAAATTAGGTGCGGTGACTTTAAGAGACAATGCATGGATCCAATAAAGTAATACACATCCAATTTCTTTTTACGTTCACTTCAGACATAACCAACAACTTTTCGGGAATACTCGCCAAGACGGGCATTTCGACATAAGCGCAAGACGCAAAACTCAATTCGGCATCGACGGGCTGTGAGACGCGGCTATTTCTGCGCGCGGGTGCTGAATTAAGTTCTTTCGTTTCTTTTTGTGCCTGAATATTTAAATTGGTGAGGTGAATTTGATCGTTCAAGAGCAAGACGTGAAAGAGAACTCAATACGGTGTTCACTAGTCTGAAACGCGGCTCACTGTGTGTGAACCGAACACATCGCGCTTGACCTCAGTGGAGTTATTTAGCAAATCTCTTGATTGTTTAAATTGGCAAGGCTTAAAAACACATGCAAATAAGCTTTCGTGACAACGTGCAGCAGTGGCCCATCAACTGTCCGGAGCATGTTTCATGCTGGCCTCGAGTAGTCGGTTGAATTCGCAGAGTGATACGAATCTCCCATTCCACCACATCCCAAAGGTGTGCTACTGGACGAAAATCTGGTGACTGTGGTGAGTAGTCAACTCATTGTCACTTATCATTGTTTGAGATGATTTAGGCTTTGTGACATTTGGGCGTTATCCTTCAGTAGACTATGGCATTTAAATGATGCTCAAGTGGTACAAGGGGCCCCAGAGTATGCCAAGAAATACTCCCCCACACCATTACACCACCACCAGCAGCCTGAACCGTTGATACAAGGTAGGGTGGGTCCATGCTTTCATGTTGATTATGCCCAATTCTGGCCCTATACCATCCAAATGTCACACACAAAATTCGAGACTCATCAGACCAGGCAACCTTTTCCCAATCTTTTGTTGCCCATCTGCTTCAAGGTTTGACATGTTGTGCATTCAGAGATGCTCTTCTGTGTACCTCGGTTGTATTGAGTGGTTGAGCTACTGATGCCTTTCTGTGGACTAAAAAAACCAGTCTAGACATTCTCCTCTGACATCAAGGCATTTTTGCCCTCAAAACTGCCACTCACTGGATTTTCTCTTTTTCGGACCATTCTCTTTAAAGCTAGTGGTTGTACATGAAAATCCCAGTAGATCAGCATTTTCTGAAATACTCAGACCAGCCCACCTGGCACCAACAACCATGCCACGTTCAAAGTCACTTAAATCACCTTTCTTCCCCATTCTGATACTCGGTTTGAACTTCAGCAGATCTTGACCATGTCTACATGCATAACTGCATTTAGTTGCTGCCATGTGATTGGCTGATTAGATATTTGCGTTAATGAACAATTGAACAGGTGTACCTAATAAAGTGGCTGGTGAGTGTAGATTATTTATTACGTTTTACAGGGATCCATTAAGTTGATCCATGAAGCCTTGCAATTTCAGGCTTTTTTACTTTAATCATATTCAAATAATCTGATTGATTATGATTTCAAGAATGATTTGAACCTGTAAAACAATATAATCGCCATTGGAAATGGAATGCATCATGAACAAGTGATTACATTCAATAAATTGAAAAAAAAAGTCTTTCATGCCCTTCTCACAATTGTTTTTGAATCACTTCAGTTTTCATTATGGCATGCTAACAGATTTCTCTCAAAACTGTATAAATGATTACTGAAATGTCATGTGCTGTTTAGGTAATAATAATCAACCAGCATCATAATGTAGAAGTGCCATCCAAAATACGTACAGCTAATGTATAACTTAACTTAAAGACATTACACTGAAAGGTTTCAAGACACAAGACATTTAAAACATATAACCAAACATGTTATT